GGGCGAGCGGTTCAAAGTTTTCGGCCTGCCGGTTGTCGGATCACGTGAATCATCGTGCGAAAGACGTAGAAACACACACGGGCGCGAGAGAAGTACCGTTTCTCAAAACGGTCGCGAGCGAGCGAGCGATGATAATTTGCAACGTAAACGTTCCCATACAGTTAGTTTCAGGTCAGTTACGAGTTTCATCGTCGACGCTCATCACGGAGAAAATGCGAGATTTATATTACGGAAATATTTTGTGCCCGTGCGCAGCGTTAACGATATCGAGGTCGATTCGTTCTTCGCTCTACTCGCGGGGAACGAGTAGAAAATGAGAACAAAGCAATCCTGTCGCAACTTTTAGATTCACCCTTACCGTTCGAATTAAATGAACATCGTCCTCGATTCCTATAGATAATTCCTTTGTGTTATATATAGGAATTTGTGACCTCGAAATTTGAAAGAAAAAGCAAATTGAATTTTCAATTTCAATCCTTCGAAATGAAGATTGACAAATACAATACTTTCAATGTTTTACAGTTGACGCCATGTAACATTTTATTTATAATAACTACGAAAGACTAACAATGAGAAGAAAATCGTAAAGCAAGAGATTAACCCTTTGAGTTATAATATATTTTGAGTTACACTCGTGGTAAGAATTATTGTTTCCATTTGAAAGAAAGAACAAATTAAATTTTTGAATTTTAATTCTTCAAACTGAAGATTAATAAATACAAACTATATATATAATGCTTTACATCATATACGATATAATGTGTTATTTATAACGACTAACGTTTGTTGAAAATTGAGAAGAAAATCGTAGAGCAAGGGATTAATAGAACTTTGGATAGGATAATTAAAAAATAGGATAATTTTGAAAGTTATCATGAAATACAAATATTGTCTATAAATGTCAGATATTCTTCAACATGTTTGATTGTTTAGTTACACAAATACAATAAGAGAGATTTTTTGATACACACTATCGTGTTAACATTGATTTTAAAATCAGTTATCACTTGGACAAATAATATATTCAATTCATCTCGATCAGCCAGTTATTCTAGAAAATTTTAGGTTAACAATTTTTTATCGTAAGGTGCAGGGAAGTTTTAATGATGTTTTAAGATATAACCTTCAAATAACTATTAATTGTTCTTCTATCGTTGTTTCATGCCGAGATCAAGCCAATGAACTTAAACACTTAACATTCCAAATATCAGAAATTTAACAGTGAAATTTCATTGTACATTGTTGCGTGCGAGTCGATGTTCAGACAAATGGCAGGATACTTTACAGCGTAAGAAAAAAGAGCGATGAAACTCGTAAAAAAAAA